AAAAAAAAAAAAAAAAAGAAGAAAAAGCAGCCATTACCTTTTCAAGTAAGCATGTACATTCCCAAAGCCATGGTACTTGGCTAAATATACAAGCACCCCAGTTGCGCACCGTCCATCTCGCTGCCGGCAGAAACTGCAGTTGCAGATTCCTCGACAAGGTGGGCAATGCCAATTCTGAAAAAGAATTGTGAAAAAGAGCAATTAAATTCATTTCCCCCACCTAACTTATCTACTTATCTACTCTTTTTCACCCTTTACGGTGGGTATTGTCTATTACATTTAAACCTTTTTTTGGATAAAAAATTATCATATGATTAATGTGTTAGTCATGCCTACTGTTTCCTTAGGAAACCAGGAGAAAAGGTTACACAGCAGCTACCAGGGATAGATAAATGGAGATCCCTGGATAGTTTAGGTGCCGGCACTGTGGAGGCAGCTCTCACCAATGCAGGTTTAACACTCTGAATTAGTCTACCTTTCCTAAAAGACCACCACATTACAGTAAGGGTTTAATCCTTTCCTGGCCTTATCAGCTTATGGCTGCTCTTCAAAAGCCCACCCTCTCCAAGGCACCTACCGCGTCCAACAGAGCATCCCTGACCTCTTCACCATATCGGTTTCGAAGACAGGGACCACAGAACTGGCCTCGAACACCCCAGCAGTCTGGGTTTCTGCAGTTTGTTTTGGTATCAATAGTTTTCTGACGGCACTGATGACAAGTAGAGCCCTGTAAATAATAAACAAAATTTTAAAAACACTGCTTTTTATATTCAGACATACTCTTTTTTTTTTTAATTGTTGCAGTTTGGCTGGGGCTGGGTTTGAACTCACCACCCTTAGTATATGCGGCTGACACCCTACTGAGCCTCAGGCACCACCCCTATGTTCAGACATACTCTTACCTGACAATGTGAATGTTACTTTTTTTGCATTATCATTGCTCAATAAAAAAAAAAAAAAAGAAAGAAAAAACACTGCTTTTTATAGAGAAAAATTTCATAAAGAATGTTCTGGCTCAGTGCCTATAGCTCAACCAGCTAAGGCGCCAGCCATGTACACCTAAGGTGGCGGGTTCGAATCCCCAACCCAGACCCGCCAAACAACGCCGGCTGCAACCAAGCCAAACAACGACGGCTGCAACCAAAAAATAGCCGGGCGTTGTGGCGGGCGCCTGTGGTCCCAGCTACTTGGGAGGC